GATGCCAGTCTGCTGTGGTTCGAGGTCAAGACTATCTGGGCTCATATGTATGATGCTGTTTGATTGCCAAAGTTCGCTAATGCTCATCTTCCTTGGAGGAGCATCACCTGCTGGGAATCGGGACCAGGTTCCCTTGAGCAAAACATGATCATAGTACTCTTTACACGCCACGCTTCCCCCCACGTACGGCCCGGGCGAACCCCCCTGACAGCATTGATTACTTCCCATGGAAGGACCAACTGCCAGTTATGCCCATCCCAAAGTCAGTCAGTCTCCCTTCCCCCCACATTCAACCCTTAACCACCAGTACACTCCGGGCTTGAGGCGCTGCACTGCGCCCCAAGCTTATCTGAACTGCCAGCGGTGCACTTTTTTTTTTTCGGCCAGGTGCCGCCAGTCATTGCGGTCTGGTAGGCCCAGGCCGCGAAATTGTCGGAGTAGGCGAAGAACATAAATTTCTGTCAGGCTGGGGGGGGGTACTTACTAGCGGTTTGAAAAACAACCATTCCAAAAAGAACACTTGCTTTTCCTTGCCTAGCTACTGGGTTTCTGTGCTGACTACTTAACTACGTACTAACGCCCCGAACCATTCCGCAAACCCATGGAGTGTAACTAAATTGCTAGGCAGTGGCACAGTTTGTGCTTCATACTTTCCCAAATCAACTGCTTCTGCGAGACGCCCGATCCAATACCCTTGAATACAGTGAATACTCCTATGATCGGGAACGGCAGGATCGTATGGGAGAACTTGTGAACGAAATACGGCTTGAAATTTTAAATTTCCAATCGTATCTTTGCGAGGACAACGTGCCCTCACCGACTGACTGCATGCATGCATGCATTCAATTGCATTGCATGGTCAGGCGCCAAACCAGTGAAGCTCATGGACAGCTATCCCCTGGATAAAACAGGTTGCTCAGGTCAAGAACCTGAGCTAATGCGGCTTGCTCCATTACTCCCTGCAATTGCTACACCTACACTATGCAAATGACTGATCGAGAAGCGTGACGTATTTAACATTATCTTATCTACAAAAAAATCCACCATGCATTCAACTGCCTCTTGCCACAGGCATACATGATAAATCATCAAAAGGCTTCTAAATGGACAGCAACAGGCTTTCTAACTGAGAGAGAGAAACATTGCTCTTCAGTGTGCACTGGCACCAAGCTGCTGCAGCAGAAGGCTCCTGTTAGCAGACCAGCATAAGAATCATCTCTCTAAGCCATCGACAGGCTCCTTTCTGTGAACCACGAATAGGCAGTACACGTGGGATGACAGTCATCTGTCTGTGGACCAGCAGCAGGCTTCTGTTTGCGGACCAGCAACAGGCTCCTACATGTGGGATCTGCAACAGGCTTCTGTCCATGGATCCGCAGCAGGCTCCTGTCTGTGGACCAAGAAGTGTCTACTACATGCGGGACCAGCCACAGGACCAGCAAAAAGACCAGCAACGCGACTAGCAACTGAACCAGCAACACGACCGGCGACATGATCAACACTGGCACCAGCAACAGGACCAGCAACAGGACCAGCAACAGGACCAGCAACAGGACCAGCAACAGGACCAGCAACAGGACCAGCAACAGGACCAGCAACAG